TGTCCCTTCCAAGCGCTCGCTTCAGCTGATATGAGTTGGGACAAATACATAGCTTCATCAACCGCATTGAAAGTTGGTTCTCTGTGCCGTGCTAGAAATAAATCAGTGTTACTGATGAAAATTTATTTATTACTCTATTGCATCTTGTTATTTAAGTCATGCCAATTATGAATGAAAAATAATATCGCCCAAATATCCGCCAAGGTTTCGGCGGCACACCTCTACTCGATGGTCAAAATTTTTGATGACGTCTCTGCATAGTTGCGCCTCGATCTCACCAATATGCCATATTATCTCATCCTTCAGCTGTTGAATTGTGGGCTTGTTGGCATAGACCTTACTTTTGAGATGACCCCAAAGGAAGAAATCTAAAGACGTCAAGTCGCACGATCGTGGTGGCCAATTGACTTCGCTGTTTCGAGAGATGAAGCGACCTTGGAACTTTTCATTGCATTTCTGTTTGAACGTCCAGTTTCGTAATAGGCTTCGATGACGTTAAGACGTTGCTTGATTTCTAATCTTTACATGGTTGACATTGCCAAAGACTTAAGTTGTTAAAGTTGATAAGTTGTTAAATCTGAAAGAAAAAGAAAAATCATTAGACGCCTAAACTTAATTCACATTTAAAATGACGTCTTCCCCCAAAAAGGACATATATATAAAAAAGAAAAAAAAAGCGGTACATTCAGACAAGGCGAACACATTACCAGGACAACCCACAAAAATGCTGTCAATTTACATGAGTAAAATAGCTAGAACTAGTATTTTTTTTATAAAATATGTTAAACCTAAAAAGAAAAGGTTCAAATATAGGCGTAAAATAAACACTTTATTTGGAATAAAATTAACATACTCCACACACGTAAAGTAATCTCTATTTTCCCCGACATATATATATATATATATATATATATACAGTGTAACCCGGATATAAGAGACCCGGATATAAGAGACCCGGATATAAGAAAAACCCGGATATAAGAGAGATTTTCTCTGGTCCCAAATTAGAGCCTGTGTTAATGTATATAAAATAGACCAAACCCGGATATAACAGAAACCCGGATATAAGAGACTTCTTCTCCGGTCCCGACAACTCTCTTATATCCGGGTTACACTGTATATATATATATAGTGAAATTAATAACAACCGGCAAAAATTGTTGCCCCTTTCAGCATTGATTTTACTTGGTAGAATGAGGTGAGTCCTACTAAAAAAAGAGTGCTTCCGACAGGAATCAAACCTACATCCTTTTTGCCAACAGGGAAACCACTTTTTGAGCCAAGCATCCCAGACACGTTTACCCATTAAAAATTAACGTTTATATTAATAAGAAATAATATCGGATAAAAAATACTTTCAAAAATATGGATTAGCAGAAGACCCTACGAGAAAAATGTGCTTTCGTTAGCTCATTCTGACGAACTGGTAGGGACACAAAGTGAAGGAACATGAGATACAAGTTTGATTCCTATCAGAGGTGCATTTTCTATTTAGGAGAACTTAGGTTTTTATTAATTTCACTGTTTAATAAAATATATATAT